TGGCTAAAACCTGACCCGTAACGGCTAAAAACCTGACCCGTAATATTCTGTACAGTAATGAGTATAGGGACAGAACAATGACATAAATTATTTTATGTGGGCATAAAATCTATTTTAACTCTTCTATCATCTTATCTTCTAATAAATGTGAATGTGCTAAACTTAGTCACTTCACAATGAAGTTAACTGTAATGTGCAAGGGCACTATAAACTTACCAACTGAAATATTGTTACATATTGCTTCCACCATAGGTACTTTTGATACTTTGGTCCTAATGCCGCCAAACCATAATAAAAATACATGACAACGTGGACACAACAATTTACCAACCCATGGAATGTACCAAAACCCCCTGCAATGTCAATATATGAGCCGTGTCATGACAAAACCACCATACTGCGTTTGCGACCAGCATGGATCCAGACCAACCATTATGTTTGTTTTGTCGTGACACGGCTCATTTATAATGTTATGTACGTGTTATTATGTATTGTACATGTGTAATTACTTAAATAAAACAAGATACCAAAATTATGTTTTTTCTTGAAGTAGAAGTCAGATACAGTTGGATATGGCAAGAACAACACTCCCGCTCGGATAGATTCATTTGCTGACAGTTATACTGACTGTAATGATGTCTAATAGCCAAGATGAAATCATTAACCAGGAAGTGAAAATGAATTTTAGGAAGACTTTGATGACTTTGTCGCCAACAATAAATGATGAATGGGGGGGGGATCCACAGTCAATTGTTTACATAATGACGTAATCATGTGTACACTTAAACAATAGAATGGGTGACACAAATGTTTTAATCCCGCCAAAAAAAAAAAAAATGGATGCCTTTATGAATAAAAAATGGCGCTGAATAACAATAGAAAGCTTAGCACACAAATTAATCCCGCCAAAAAAAAAATGAATGCCTTATTAGATTGAAATAAAAAATGGCGCACTGTTCTTCCATAACAAAAGAAAACGAAACATAATTGTAGGGATCACATAAATATGGTCTAAAGTACACAATAGAAAAATGTTACCATAAAGGATTAACTAATTCGGTCAAAATATACAAAGGAAAACTATAATCAAATTATTGGTTTAAACTATGAAAAGAAAATTAGGACAAAATATTATTAATAAGTCTAGACCAGCTGTGGTCAACTCATCTAATAAGCTACTTTAGTATCTAGTATTTCTTCTTCTTGATATTGTATTTTACTATCATCAGAAAAATGTAAAGTTTAATCAATTGTTTACATAATGACTTAAGAGTGTGTACTTTATAACAATAAAACAGGTAACACTCCAAAAAAGTCAATCTTATACATGTAAATGCAAAATTACATTTATTGTTTTCTTATAATATAATGAGGCCCGTTTTGTCATTTTTCCAAAAATTGACATGTCATATTTTTGCACATGTTGACAAGAAACAAACCTATGCCACTTGTTTTGTATATAATTCTCTTCATTAAAGTTACTACGCATCACATCCAAGTCCAGCAATTCAACCTCTCATTGAAGGCAAGTACTTTCTCTGTGGTTCATACAATGCTTGATCTAATTAATTTACTGTGTATTTCTAAAGCAGTAAATTTGATAAAACTTGATAGTCAGGTGGGATACATACAAAACAAGTTACCTTTTATCTAGAATTCATACCCAATTATTGTTTTCTTATAATATAATGAGGCCTGTTTTGTCAATGGCTTCAACACCTACATGTATCTTTAGAACTCATTAGAGTAAAACAAAACAATAATTGTCAATGAATAATCCTTAATAAGAAAATAAATCTTTCTTTACCAGCTAGTAAATCTTGCTTTTATCATATTTATGGTTTAAACTCTTAACCAGACAATGTGGTTACCTGATAAAACAAACAATCCTTTAAGTATGTATGACCAGTATGACCCCAAATGTAACATATATTTCAACCAGGTAATAAATCCACAAAGGGACGCCTTTCTGTGTCGATGTTTCGGATCAGTTATGAACATTCATTTATTCAATGGAGAAATTTTAAATGATTTGATTTACCACTTTTAAGCGAGGATAGGAATTACAACCTAAAATTATATACATTGTACTGAAACTTTTTTTTATTCACATTCTTATTTTTTATATTTTGATCTAGCAAAGATTAAACATTTTCTGCTGTTAATTGCCAGAACGAAGAAACCAATTAAATCTTACATTTCAACACTGAAGTGATAATGTCATCACCTTGGAATTTGTATAGCAATGAACCGTCAGATTTTTAACATCTGTGAAATTGATGTCAGCGCCAAGATAAACATTGGTCCTTTTTATGACTTGATAACAGAAAGAAACAATAATTAAAAGTTTTTATTTCATGTCAATAAGTAAGCCCTTTGTATACAGGTGTGTCCCTAAATTACTCACTTCTTGTCCACCATTAAAAACGAGTTCTTCCTTATAGTTGCCACAGTATAACTATTTTCCTGACATGCTTGAAGTGGTAATATGGATTTTACTTAATATTCAAAAATATCATCAGAGCAAAAACAGCTATTTGGTGATAGATTTTTATGTCATGTTTTCACATACCCTTGACTAGATTTCTCTCTCCAGATAACTTTTTTTTGCATTTCAACTATATACACCCAGGCGCAACATGGATTAGTTGGACGATTTAAGAAAAGGATATACATAAATTTATAAACAAAATAAAACAAAAATCTAATAATACAGTTTAATTTATTTATTACAGACTGCATTTACAAAAAGAAATATTTAAAATAAAACGCATTTGGCATATGATAAAAAAATGTTCCAATCATAATGTACCACACTAACATTTGTCCTTTTGTCTTTCCCAAATATGAATAAATAATATAAACTTTCACATGTCTTTAATAATTTGTTCATTTATTGATAAAATGTCAGTATTTATCACTACTAGTTTCTTTTTCACTGTCATCATCATCATCATCATCATAATCATCATCATCATCATCATCATCATCATCATCATCATCATCAAATGTTTCTTCAAGTTCTGGTAATGGGTATTTGTCCATAACACGTTCTAACATGAATTTTCTTTTTTTAACAGCATACTGTATAGCTTCATCAGTTTCGAAATTATCTTCCTCTCTCAATCTTTTAACAGTTCCATGATCTTTTTATGTGTAGGATTGCGCTGAAGTGCATACATTTTCCAATAAAATCCAAATAAACTTCTCTGAATGCTTTATGATACACGGAGCGTAATTTTTTCAAAAGCTTTATTTCTTATTTCTTCAAGAGAGCTATCAGGGTCTTCATTACGCATTTTACTGGCTGTTTCATTTAAAACGTCATCTCCTTGTTCATATGTGAGCTCTGTAAAATACTTCCAGATGTCAATATGTTTGTTCTTGTTAACATCATCATATTGTTTGCCATTGTCATTCCCTATAGTAGAAGATTCATCGTCATTATCTTGTTCACTGTCATCGTCTTCTTCGTAATGATGAGATTTGGATCTATTAGGTCTCAACCGATCGAAAATGTTTCTATATAGATAAGGTTTACGATTTGGTTCCTCATCTGATGTATTTCCATCGCTGATATTATTTTCAGACATACTGTTCTTATGTTTGAGATGCGAATGCCTATTTAAATTGTACTTTTTATTGAATTTTTTATAACACAAAAGACATGTGAATACCATTATTTTAAGCGATCAAATGGCAAAATTAATGCCAATTCTCCTTTTTATACTCCCAACTAATTTATTTCGTTTCTCATTTTCTCGTTTTGCTTGCTAAGTGGCTCAATTGGGTGTTCATTAACTCATTTTGCTTGCTCAGTCGCTCATTTTATTTGCTCATTTGCTTATTTTGCTTGCTCATTTGCTCATTTGGTTGCTCTTTTGCTCATTTTGCTTGCTCATTTGCTCATTTCACTTGCTCATTTGCTCATTTGCTTGCTCATTTGCTCATTTCACTTGCTCATTTGCTCATTTAGTTGCTCATTTGCTCATTTGGTTGCTCATTTGCTCATTTTACTTGCTCATTTGCTCATTTGGTTGCTCATTTGCTCATTTTGGTTGCTCATTTGCTCATTTTGGTTGCTCATTTGCTCATTTCACTTGCTCATTTGCTCATTTGGTTGCTCATTTGCTCATTTTGGTTGCTCATTTGCTCATTTTACTTGCTCATTTGCTCATTTGGTTGCTCATTTGCTCATTTTGGTTGCTCATTTGCTCATTTGCTCATTTTGGTTGCTCATTTGCTCATTTTGGTTGCTCATTTGGTTGCTCATTTGCTCATTTTGGTTGCTCATTTGCTCATTTTGGTTGCTCATTTGCTCATTTGGTTGCTCATTTGCTCATTTTGGTTGCTCATTTGCTCTTTTGGTTGCTCATTTGCTCATTTTGGTTGCTCATTTGGTTGGTCATTTGCTCATTTTGGGTGCTCATTTGCTCATTTGGTTGCACATTTGCTCATTTTGTTTGCTAATTTGCTAATTTGGTTGCTCATTTGCTCATTTCACTTGCTCATTTTCTCATTTGGTTGCTCATCTGCTCATTTCATTTGCTCATTTGCTCTTTTTGGTTGCTCATTTGCTCATTTAATTGCTCATTTGCTCATTTGATTGCTCATTTACTCATTTTTCCTTGCTCAGTCGCTCATTTTAGTTGCTCATATGCTCATTTTGGTTGCTCATTTGCTCTTTTTGGAGTGTTACCTGTTTTATTGTTATAAAGTACACACTCTTAAGTCATTATGTAAACAATTGATTAAACTTTACATTTTTTCTGATGATAGTAAAATACAATATCAAGAAGAAGAAATACTAGATACTAAAGTAGCTTATTAGATGAGTTGACCACAGCTGGTCTAGACTTATTAATAATATTTTGTCCTAATTTTCTTTTCATAGTTTAAACCAATAATTTGATTATAGTTTTCCTTTGTATATTTTGACCGAATTAGTTAATCCTTTATGGTAACATTTTTCTATTGTGTACTTTAGACCATATTTATGTGATCCCTACAATTATGTTTCGTTTTCTTTTGTTATGGAAGAACAGTGCGCCATTTTTTATTTCAATCTAATAAGGCATCCATTTTTTTTTTGGCGGGATTAATTTGTGTGCTAAGCTTTCTATTGTTATTCAGCGCCATTTTTTATTCATAAAGGCATCCATTTTTTTTTTTTTTTTTTGGCGGGATTAAAACATTTGTGTCACCCATTCTATTGTTTAAGTGTACACATGATTACGTCATTATGTAAACAATTGACTGTGGATCCCCCCCCCCCATTCATCAAATAAAGCAACTGGCTATAAAATCAGGCATAAATTCGCAAATATCGGCAATTAAAACCAAAGTCGATGAAATGTTAATGAAGCACACTAAGGACACCCCAGAAGAACAAAATATCTAAGTCTTCCGGATTGTTATAAATGACATATTCGCGGCTATAAAGATTCGCGGAATCATGCCGACCGCGAAAAGCGCTAACTTAAAACGCGCGAAATCTTTTCTAGAAATACAGTATAAGGTGAATGACCATTTGTGGCACAAAGGCAAGAGCCACACTCTCTAAAAAGCTAACATTAGCTGAGGCGGCAAAACTCACTGTGAAACCATTGTAGATAAGAAAAAATCAACAGTTGAGTTCATAATAAACTTCCCACCCATGTGCAATTCTAGTGCACTAGAGCTGAACTAGAAGTGCACACGGTGTGCACTAGACCATATGACCAGCCTGGCAAATGAAGGTGACACCTAAATGGTTTATTGGAGTGACAGGGGTCATCCAGTTTGTTTAGCTATTGTAAGAAAAAACTTTGGGGATGTAGGAGGTATTCGTGAAAATGAATATGTAAATTTTAAATCAGCAGTTTTAACATTTTAGATGACATCATGTTAAAACATAAAGATATAAATTATTAAAATATTATATAAATTAATTTTATAACATTATTAACGATTTCAATATTAAAAATTTAATGTTTAAAGGGAAAACTTTTATAATAGGAAAAGTCTTAAATCATGCTGTGTATTTTTCTGAGCGCGACTGTTGGCAAAAGATAAAAATTCAACAAGAGCGTTCCGTAGGTCAGCGCGCTCGACTATTAGATTTGACTTCTGTGACATATCATCAAAGATTGGAAAGTGATTGTTGATTATAATTTGATCCTCTGAAATCCATATAAAAGTCCATAACTCCCATAATAAACCAAACCTTAACACACTTTTTCATGACCTCTGAAACTGTTTTCCCGGGCTTCATTTAGCTGCGTTATCTCGTTATGTGTTATTTTTGGAGATTGCAAAAGATGAAATGACATTAAGTATAGGTTAGTGTTTAATATCATTAAATCGTCATTAACGTCAGATATAAATTCAAATTAAAATACATGCACATCATCCTGTGATTAAAATCTTTATGCTCTTTAGAAATTGGCTTCATTAATATGCCATCGTATTGATTATCCTTTATATACAGCCACAATACATTACCAAAAGAAATCCGATATTTGAACTATATTTGCATTTAAAAGAGATGTGTGTCAACAAAAAAGCAAAATATGACACACATAAAGATGGTATAGGTTAAATCAGGCAAACTACAGTTTTATGTAACTATACCTGGTACAGATTTGACTCCCCACCACCAGAACATTGGCAAACAACCGTGATGAAACACGTGCAGAAATGTCACCTGACTGTTCTTTTTACGTAAGATAAAAAATACCTGTTAAAAATAAAAATTGATGTGTTCACTTAATTGAAGTGACTGAAGAGGCCCGCCAGACGTATTGATCTATAGATTCAGCGTACAACAACAAGCTACATATACATAACTCGACACGACGACGACGGAAGTGAGAGGTACGATGATGAAATTGTTGAAATTCGATAAAATTTCGATTTTCACCATTGACTTTTGACCTTTCACCATCTTGGTTTCGTTATATCGACTTATATTGACTTATTTTGCATTGAAGAAGCAGCAGTGTTATATGTGTCACTGGGTCATGATTAAGTTTCGTGTTTGTTGAAAATTTTATATATGTAACACACATTCAAATCAATGAGAATAATAATTTAATCATATAAGGAAACTATTGGTCCATAAATAAAATCATTTCATCTTAATCCCGAAATATTGTTGCCACATTCACGCAGTCTTCTCATCGCCTTTCTATTTCAAAATAAAATTAACTTTATATTGATAATTTGCAGCGTTGCGTAGGAACAAAATATACTTAAATAATACAAAAAGTGCGTTATGTATATACCGTATCCATCAGCTCTACAAACTTCGCAATGAAAAACAGCCACACTGCCCCTGCCATCTGAAAAATTCCAAGTACAACAATTGATACATACACCGGAAAAATGGGGCCTATAATGGGAGGTCTGTATTACAATTTATGTTCATTATGATTTTAATATTAGGATAAAATTATACAATATGTTTATGAATGTTGTTGACAAGTGTGAAAAATATGATTCGATATTACATAATTTATATAGCATATAATAAATTGTTCTAGAACATATTTTTAGTCATATTAAAATGTTCAGGATATATTTAAAAAGAATATTTTTATGATACATTTCTATTCTTTTTCATCAATATTTTAATACGTATGAAAAAAGTGCCATCAGTAAGCCTTTTCACTTTAAATACCTAACTAATACCATGAATTGTTTAGAGCTATTATTAAAGAAAAACTCGAAATCAATGATACATATGTGATGCAACCCACAATGTGCATGTATCTTACAAAGAGGTTTGGTTCAGTTCTAACATTACCAATATCTCTTATCAGAAGTTACATGACAATAACAAAAAGCCTGAACTGTGGGACTGTCATGAAATAATTATCTTAGGAAAGAGCGATCAAAGTCACAATTAAGAAAGCTTCTTTTCACTCTTGTCTTGGCTGATAAGTGAGGTTACAAGATTTTATCACTTTAAAGGTATTAAAACTAAACATGACATTAAAAAAAAAAATAAATAAAACAACAATTTCATTGATAAAAAATTCCTCTTCCTATATATACGATTACTGTTTAAATTTAATCAAAACATATCAAACATAATATTTTAAACAAATATCATGTAAAATAAATTACCCGTAGAGCGGTTGGTGAATTAGAATAATCCACAGTCTGACAGCCAAAAGAATATTCGTACATCCAGCCTCCTAGCAGAAACTGAAATACATCAACTTTCATGAAACAAACAACAATTACAGTCAAATCTGTCGAAATGACCAGTAAAGGGAAATGTTAGAAGTCAAACCAACTGGGAAGACCTTACACACCTCTGCGCATTGTGTTACTAAAAGCTGCTCGATCAGAACAACTGTTATAATGTGAAATATTATTATAAAATGAAAAGCTGCTGGTCTCTAAAATAAAATGTTTTTACGGAGGCAATCTAAAGTATATTTATAACTGCAAAACGTTTAATTAACATAATATAGACAAAACATAATTGTATTCAGTAAAACACCTAGATTTTTTTATCACAACACTATCAGAAGTATCAGAAGTAGAATATTAAATTTGTATAGGATAAGATATTTTGCGCAGAAAAGTGACGCTATTTTATTAAGTCTTCCGGTTTACGAAGACATAGCTGTCGTCAAGAAATCTCCACCAAACCATTCATTATACATGTTTAACGCTAATCAAAAGTAGGAACAATCAAATAATACCTACCTCGCGGACTATATATGCACAAAATATCATCAATGAGAAGTTGTAAACTACAAGAATATTCTGTAAATGGAACGGCTTTCTTTCTTCCATCCATTTTGGTCCGTAATATACAAACAATAGATAGGCTATCACTATAAGAGTTGGCAGTATTGGGTCACTCATAAAAAGCCAATCTTTTACCCGAGGATCTGAAATTATGCGACATTCATTACCAATACATATATGACAGATAGTATGTAAAAAATTGATATACGATTTTTACAAATTATCCCCGATTTAACAGTTATCATTACTACTGACTGAAAACGTTACCGTGGTGCACGAAGGTTCTACTCAGGTGCTCGATCGCTCGTGCCAGAAAAAAACCACGATAAGGCATCTGACGCCTGACCATTAAAGCTGGAAAGTCATATATGAGCTCTACTGTATTGGTGCGAAGTACACCCACCCATCCCCCCTCCAAAAAAACAACAAAAAACAACAATAACAACAACAAAAGAAAAACAAAAACAACATGCAACAACGAATACAATTAGGTTTATTTAAGCTCACCATAAGTGTGCATCAAGCAAGGAAGGATTTAAATGAAGGAGAATAACACTTATGCGAGGAAACCGATAACGCAAAGATAATACTTAGGAAAAGATAACGATCACGCGAGGATTCTAATCGCGTGAGGATATCACTCACGCCAGTATAGCATTCACTTAAAGGTATACTAGCTATAGCCGTTAAGAAATGATCATTTGTATAAGATATAGAAGTTTGGACCTTGCAAAAAAATTCATATTACATTTGTTATAGGTAAGGAATTACATTTGCTTTATTGCACAACACATAAATTAAGTAACACAGTATCTAAAATGTACAAAAAAACCCCAAAACTTATAACATATCGCCACTTGTGAAATTAGACTGATGGTAAATTAGAATTATCAGTTACCAATCTGCTTCCCGTAAACTCTTACAATAAAGTTGTACCAGCGTACATGTTCGTCATTACAAGAAGGCACGAATTCACATTTTAAGGCACGTTAACCACTTGTCCAACATTCACGTGACAAATTTACAAATTGATGTCTCACTGATACTATATGCCTTATCATACCTTCACTACGTTCACATTAATCTAATTTAATGAATACCATATGTAGTAAGTGTCTTAGGTCATGTTAAATTTTTGAAGATGTAGCCTCATATCTTAGCAACGCAAGTTATACACTATATGTTATATGACGGTGATATTTGAAACATTTTTGTTTCTATCATTTAATGTGATATATCGACAACTGTCTGCTTACTTATATCTACAAATGCATCTCAACCTATCCATTACAGAATTTTTATGTATATGTCAGTGAACTCTATTCGCCCCCCCCCCCCCTTCTAAGTGATCTAAACATCTTAAAGTATCCGTTCACTCACGACATCCTACTAACATTATTAAAACTATACATGTTAACATATAAATTAAATCTGATTGTCTTGCTTGAACATTATAATTTATAATTAACAAATTAGATGATAGTTTAAGTGTAATAAATATGGTACGGTATATAAATAAATGTATACATTTCTTTAAATATTAACTTACCTATATCATGACAAAGATAAGCGTGGAAATTTTGTATGTGAGCAATTAGATCCATCTTGTTTGAAAACTTAGGTTAAATGTAATGTTGTCCTTGGTAACTGATGAATGGTGATGACCTTGTACACACACCAAGGGTCGACCAATAAGTTATCATATGTAAAAACATGTGCAAGTGTTTTACATATTAAGTATATGTGATATTTTAATTATACATAATTCTGTAAATAAAATTTTAAGAAGTTAGAAATGTTTTGACATATGGTACGCTTAAATGCATTTTGTGTTTCAGGTTAAATGTAATGTATATATTTCTTATATTCGCTTAAAGGCACATTATGCCTCAGAAATCCATATTTTTCATCTGCCAAACACGAGTTGAATAATCGATTAAGAACATTTAAATATTCATCAGCTAAAAAAGTAGCGCTGAACATGCAGTGGGATGTCGTAAAGGTTGGAAAATGTAAGCAATGTAGTATTTCAATTTCCATACACAATACTATTTCACTAAATATACCATTTGCCAACAGAGCAAAGTTTATGTATTGGCAATTCAGTATTTTTTTAGAAACTGTGACAAGATACCAAAAATAAAAAGAGTTTATGAGAAATAAGAATTAGCATTTCTGAGGCAAAATGGTCCTTAAATAAATTGTGCTATCATGAATATAAACTTAAATTATAAATAATACTTTAAATTTAATTTTTATTATGATGAACAGCATGAATGATGTATTGCTCTTGTACCATCACCCAGGTTGATCTCCATGAGAAGTACGGCTAAAGTTTGGTATTGCATATACATGTACATTTAAAATACGTCGTATCAATAATTTCTAACAGATTGAGTTTTTTTTAATATAGAAATCTATATATATACATGTATAACCACGCTTTATATTTCTTTAAATATCAAATCACCACGTGGGTGGATTTTCTCGAGTCTGTATCTTGTGAGGCGGAAAGACGACTGGGTTATGTAGCATGTGTAAATTAACATGATAAACAAAATTTCAAGTCAAGTCAAGTTAAAGTATTTATTAACATATACATGTTTTTCGCCACACATAATTGGCAAGTAGATTATAAATAGCAATATAATATTGAAAAGTATGAAGATATATAATTCAAGTTTGATTTTCATTATAAATAAAATGAATATCTTAAAATTATACGATACCAAACAAACAAACAAACAAACAAAATTTAAAAATTAGAAAGAAAGAAAAAAAGGAACAAAATAGTTCAAAATACTTCAGTTCACTTCAGTTTAGTGGTAAAAGTATAAAAACATAACCACGGTGTGAAGCTGACTTATATACATGTATAGAGTATCTCCACAGTATATAAACCAGTCTACTTCCTGTACCCGCAAGAAAGATACACGTTAAAATATAAAGCCTCCCAAGAAGGGTACAGTACAGTGATCGGAAGTAACATGTGGTTGTTCTCGCAAGACAGGGTACATATTAAATTGTATGGGCTCGCAAGACAGGGTACAGTTACTTCGTTAATATACTGTGATCTCAGTTTATCCTTCACCACAGTGACGAGTGAGTACTTTTCTTATTTTGTGACTAATTTCTTCATGGTGTATTGTTGAAATAGATCACAAGTATCATATTACTATCAAAGTCACATTGTCATAAAGTCATGTTACATGTTTAATTTCTTTACCACTACAACAGAAATTAATTTATTTTGTCAATAATGGACAGTTGAAAAAAAATGAGCCACGTGCTTTTCAATCGTGTATAAACTGATCAACTCCTCATTTTATTAAAAAGTTTCATTTTGCAGATTTTTTTAGTTGCCTTACCTAATTTGCTTTGACTGCTTATTCTGATATAACGTAATACATAGAATTTGTATAGGTCTATTTTATACACTGTAAAAAACAATAAAGTTTATTGGTCAATATGCCACTGATCATATATCAATGTCGATCTGTACTTGTTGTTTGACATTTAGTAATGCATTAATGTATTATTTTCGTCGATGTTTTTTTACAATGATAATAACAGTATTTTTGTAAAATAAATTGCAGTACACGAGTTACTAAGTAATGTTGTTCCTCGAGTTATTTGTATTTAGGGAACGAGATAAAAAAAAAGAGAAGCTTAATTTTAAAGAAAGTTTTGCACTTGTAACCTCTGCAGTATATGCGACCGTTCAATGTTTACAGTAAATATAAGAAAAAAAAAACAACTAAATATATAGGATAGGACATAAAATAACAGTTAAACGACTACGCAGTGTTGTAATGTTGTCCTGTTATATACCTTTGAGATAATTGATTCCATTATTTTCTTTGTTATATTTACTGCTTAATTAAGCCGGTGCAAATGTGCTTGAGAGAAGCCGCACAGTGTTTTAGCACTCTGAACATGCATTAAGTTCATTAGGTTTACCCGACAGATTCATTGCAACATAGATTGATATAAACATCTACACTAAAATTTGTTTTCAATGCTTTTGATGGATTTCTCTTCCAGCAGATTTAATAAAAAAGAAGAAAAAAATCTGGTTGAATTTACTGGTTACTTTCAATACGGATCATTTATAAGATCGCATGTGTTGCCTCCCTTGTTATGACAATTGACGTTGCGGCTATGTTTGTGTGGGGTACCGTAAGCTATATTAATGATTAATGTTTTACATAATGTTATTTTTTTGTCTTTCTGCAGCATTTTTTATGATGCATAGGCATCAGATTTTCAGTTCCCATGTCAAACAATCATTTTATTTAGTTCCTCCTAAGACATACGCCTTCTTCAGTGTATTGTCAGATGATATTTATGTCGTAATCAAATTTTGACAGAAGAAAGTAACTATTTAGATTGAACCATGTCAGTCACAAGTGTCCATCAAACAAGAATTAGAGGATTTTGTGGTACAAGTATAAATTCATCGGTTGAGAATTGACAACTATGAGGACAAAGATCAACAATTACGGACAGGCAGAAACAGTACGTATTTATTAAATTATAGCGCAGATATAAATTCATGAGTTATAGAGAACGAGAACATAAGAAATTTTGTAAGGTAAACATTAGGCCAACTACAAAGACTGTACATAGCGTCTTATGGTGAATTATGTATATTTCCACTCTATATTAAACGACATGTTAAAATGGTTATATATTTTCTGATGATTTATATCGTCAATACTAAAGGCAGTTTCACGTGATCAAATAAAACGTTTGGTGCTGAAAGGAATGCCTCATATATACGCGATATCATTCAGTCATCTGGGTTATATCTCGAATCTGTAAATATAAATGTTTTTGTTCCAGTTTTAAGTTGTATGCTTACAGATACATATATGTATATAAATAATTGGAGAACGGGGTTACAGATGTCAAGTTTTTTTTAATTTCGGGTGATAAAAATACGTTTGAGCAGTCAAGTTTGAGTCTTTTAGAAAGTACAAAATATCGAAAAACAATTGCTGTATTATGTCTCGCTGTCGACATTACTGCATTCCGCGCGATGAACGAAAATGAACACTATGTGGCGATATTGAAGACGAATTTCAAGTACTTTTAAACTGCACAGCTTATGTTGACTTATAAATATAATTTATTACTACAAAGCAGTGATAAGAATTTAAAAATATAATGACTCTGTATTGTCACAAAGCATTTTCTATTGTAATAATATACATATTTTCCTCGATCTGCATTTGTTTTTCATGTAATGTTTCTTTTCATTGTTTAACAACGATGAGCTTGTATTGCTTTAAGTCAAATAATTAGTTTTATAGAACTATAAAAGAAGTACATTCCAAATCCTAAAAATCATTTGGTATACATTGATCAGCTCCTTTCAAATCTTATTTTCTGAATTGTGACATTCATATGGTTTTTTTTCTTCTCCGGGTTGATTTTAACAATAATACGCTATATCAGCTTGCAGGATCCTTGGATTCGATCAGCAGCAATCTCACAACTAAATTTAAATGTTTTAATTAGAACTTTGTTTTTTTTTTTGCATTCAATTAGCTCAGCTTAACATAAAACTTTTATATGTGTTTATAGAAATCATAAACAAATCCAGCTCCGTAGTGTTAGTGCTGAATAAAAAGACACTAAAAATATTGAAAACGAATGCACTATAAGAAAATATGAATAATCTCATTGTGAATTTAACATACGGTGCGCTAGATGTTGGTAATGCTTTGATGGTCATGCGTAGAGTACGGTGTAATGTTATAGAAAAAAGTGGCATCAACCACCTTAAGCTGTATTAATTTGAGAACTGTGCGTGCTCAAGGAACTCCCTCTAAAGTTTGTTTCACCTTGTTCTTTTCAGTTGTTGTTTAACGCAAAACAACATTGTTTTCTTTCTTGGCACGATTTCAAATCTTTTTATGACAGTATGTATAAAAGGATCCAGGTCTCCATTAATGTAATATGTGTGTCACATGCTAGAGTCTGGTATTTGAACAGACACATGCTGAAAGGTCGTTATTTGAGAAAAAGAAGAAGTCGCTAAAAATGGAACCTTTGGGGTTATTTTATCCACAATCGTATTTCTGCGCAACACATGTGTTACAACTTCATCAATCAAATCAGGTTATTTATTTGTTGTTTATTCGAAATCCTATCTCGTTTTCTAATATCTTTTAAAATAAAATTTAATTACATCTGTTACAAACAGAATTCATCTGTTGATAAAATCGTTCCGTTTAAACAGGGGCTTTACAATGAATTGAATGTTTTTGGCTAGGAGACCTGATCCTATGGACGGGGAAAGAAATGCCAGAGAGTTGGTTTAATAAAGGCCTAAATTCATGTTTAGTTTGAGATTAGAAATTGTACACGAATAATATTCTCTCATATTTATTAAAATATTGTGGGAAGAAAATAGACACAGCCTAGGCATGACTTAATTAAGAAATATTATGACCTTTTTTTTTACTTAATAAATTTTTCTTTTCATGATCTTTTGATCTTTTGAAATAGATTCTCAAAAGAGAAGTAATTCGTTTGTAAATTTATATATAAAAACAGAATGTTGACAGTATAGTACGTTGAGCTACAATTCCTCTAATTAGTGTTGTATTTGCTACCAGTTATATACAGTCAGTTATATCGTTGAAAGTATCTACCTTATGTACGCCAAGTTTATTTGAGAACTGTCAAAAAGTCAAACGATGTGTGAGAAATATGATCTAAAATTATACAAATCATCATGAACTTTCTCTTAATCAATTGTTCACTTATTCTCCACTACAGCAATGAGAAAAAATCGACTTCTCCTTTCATACTAGCTTGGTAAACAACAAGTGCTTCATCTTTATCAACTGTTCCTTCTTTGTATACATTGTTCACCATGTTCTCATACAGCTTGTAACCTTTATAGTCCGGGTCAAAATCTTCCTTTATCCACTTGGTATATACACCAAAATGACCCTTGAAATAAAATAAAAGTACTGTAAAATTAAAATAGAAAGACCTTGTCGGTGTAAGAGATATTGTTAGGCAATATTGACCTGAGACTCATTACATAAATTTTCGGGAGGTTTTTCGTTAGTTTCCGTATTTTTTTTATGAGTTACGCTCAGTACTACACGATGGCTTAGTGGGCACATAGCTGCAAATTCGAATCTTGGACAAAGTTTTGAAAAAATATTATAAAGAAAAATTATGCAAGAAAACGTAAATTTGTTTCGAACCAACAAACTGAAAGTCTTTCACCTTCTCACCGACGAGGCTAGTAAGGCAAGTGTTATGCTGGTAATTCTAAGTTATACATATACCGTTGTAAAATACATTGTTTTAAAAGTCGTAAGATTTACTTCGAAATCCGATAATTACCGACAGAAGTCATTGAATATCTAAATGTCCCAACCAAAATATATACGTCGGTATACTTATATTGATACTTTTTATGATCACTGACAGTTTTAATATCATTTTACTGCAGCAATACATGAATATTCAATTTATTCATTTTTTTTCCAAATAGTTAATCAATAAAATAGCTTTAGCTTGAATTTCTGTTTGTATTTGTAGCACTTATTATTTACTTACAAAATCGGCATCGATCTGATCACCAAGCCATGGCCATAGTTTAACACATGGTATCATGGCAACAACCAGATATATTGGGTCCTTCGTATTTACAACATCCTTGAGGTGGTTGACATAATTCTGACATCCTGTTCCCAATATAATCCCTCTAGGATCAGCGATATGCCATTTCTTGAAAAGATCTAGATACAGACTGGAATAGAAGATACCTGTAGATTTAAAATCGTCTGATTATTCATAAAATTCAAAAGATCAATAATTGAACAGCGATTGTGTTAATAGTTAATAGAATAAAATAAATGAATTCACGATTTAAAATTACCTGTTATTATTTAACTGAACCGGAAATCAAATCGAGTAAAGACATCTTTAAACATCAAGACCTATCTAGTTTTTTAAAATACATTGTACATTACTGCTATATTAAATTTCAACAAACCTCTCATAACTGTTTGCTTTTTCTTGTAAAAACTGTTTTAGATCTGGATCGATCGTCTTACCCACGGCGACATCAATGAATTCTTTTGACATATACATATAAACGGCATCCTGGATCATATATGCACCTTTCAACAACAAAGAAATCGTTAAATATTACGGTCAAAGGATGATAAATTAAAGTTATATTTGTGTAATAATTTCGCCTGTCAGTTTCAGAGATTATGCAAATTTAATTTCAATGCACTGCATAAGATACTTCAACGATATTCTTGCAACAATCAATCCTAGGGGGTGGGGGGCAGGGTCGAACATATTATAATTTTGCTGAGTAATTGAATAAATTAAATAATATTGTTTTGAAAAATTTCTTTTTCTTATTGCAGTATGAGGTATAAAATTACGGCAAGACTGGAATTCTGAAATTTCCGAACAATTACATCAATAGATCATTGCATTCTTTTAGAGTAGATTCATGCATTTAATTACATACCATTTATTTTGGTAAGTGGGACCATTTCTTTAGATAAGTTTCAGCGTATCGATAAAGACAAGAATTGTCCTCCACGCTTCTCAGTGCTTGATAAGCATAGAAAACAGGGCAAAACATGATTAGCAGGCCAGCATGCCTTTGATAGTCAAACAAATATGTTTTATGTCAAGTGATACTCTTAAACGGTTCTTGATAAAAAAGCAAATAGTCTAAGTCAAAAAAGGAAAAGAAAAATGGCTTTCAGGATAACCTGCCCCTTAGAAATACAGCGGACAATTTCTCCAAATCAAAAGTGAACATCTAATACATTTGAGAAATGTACCTTTACAAGAATTTTAATCGAGAAATTCATATTCAAATACATCTTCTTAAAAATCAATTCTAATTAAAAAAATGATCAAGTATTCCAAGTTTGAAGTGGTTATCTTGACATTTTTTTTACGAAATTGACTTCAGAAGATAACAAAAATTAATAAAAAAAGCAAAAAATCTTTTAGGATTACTTGCCCTTCTGCAATACTATGAACATGTATACTGTATCAAGTTTGAAGTAAATAACTTTGATAGTTTCCGAGAAAATGAATATTAACAAAATTGTCAACAGGGCTTAAAGCTAAGTTGAAAAAGGCTTATAACTTTTCAATAAATAATTTTAGGATTGTCCGTTTGATTTTGGCTTCCTTTTATGACAATAAACACGTGTACCAAGTTTGAAGTGAAAAGTTTTTATAGTGTTCGAGGAAGTAGACCATAACGAAATGGTTAAAAGGTCTTTGCCGTGTCCTGTTTTTGTTTGGGGTCCGCCTGGGCTCCTTGCCACTGGTTCTTGTTGCTGGGTCGTATGGGGGTTGCGTTCGTTGAACGCCGCCTTTCCTTGTTGATCTTGTTTATCATATTTTAACCAAACACCGTAGCTAACGCAGACGCCAACGAGAGGGTCATAACAATAATTCTACTTTTCTTCTTCCTGAAAGCGGAACTTTCAAGCAAATAGTGACTTTTGCAAGCACTTTAGATTATTAATATCATTTCAAACAATTACATGTATATATAAAGTGTGAAAATGAAAAAAAAAACATTTATACCAAAGTCAGATGGATTTAAAGAAACATTTTTCAGCCCTTGCACAAATGCGGAATTCAATGCCGCCTGTTGGAAACTTTTTGACTCGTTCCAAAGGTAATCAGCAATGTCGTCACTTGCTTTTACTGTTTCCATTTGAAGACTGGCAACAACAAACACTAACTTGAAGAAACACCTTGTGACAAACATCATTAACTTTTTTTATGATCAACGCAGAATCGGATGATCTGTAACAATTTTGTTCGACCTGTCAGGAATAGAAAGACATAAAATACATGCGGATGAAAAATGAATCAGTGATCCATAGGTTACTAAAATAATTATTATCAGTTCATGAACAGAACAGTTTATTTAACTTGTACAAATGCAATAAAGACAAAAAAGATAGAAAAAAAAAACAACAACAAAAACACACACACTCACAAAACAACAACAACTACAAAAAAAAATACAAATCAATATAATACAGATCAACAGAGCAATGTTTAATGTTGTTCGAATAAAGAATAGTTTTCTCCAAGAGGGAACATAATAATAACGGTACTCTGAATTTTGTCATTATTCTTTATAAACTAAAGACTTATGTCATTGTTTTCAAAGGGTCACAATTCTTCGCTAGGGTCATTTTTCTTCTAGTGGGGAGGTTATATATTTTCAAAAATAATGACCGGGGTGAATAGGGGTGGTATTATTCTACTGGGGGTTAGTTACTTGGATTCGTTTTGTATATCAGAGAATCAAGAAGTACAAGCAACGGTGTAGCTTTGCGTCTGTTGAGGATACTTAGAGCAACACATGTTACTTGGAAACAACAGTCGATGAAAATAAAAGTCATATCACCGTATCATGCGTTCAAGCATGGTCCTCGATCGTACATTATTCTATAACCATGCACTAAAAATTAAGACCTATTTCCTTAGTAAATATATATAACTCACAGACACAGTATGTATCCAGCTCATCAGGGCTTGTTGATATAGCCAAGTTCTGATGATAATAACAGACTCGGAGTCTTGAGAATAGTGAAAATATCGTAAATTTTTCTACTTTTGTCTTTTATTCACGTTTATTTAATCAAGTGAGAATCAACTGAAATCCCTTATTAGAAATCGATCAAATATATACACGTAATATCAAAACGTACATGTATATGAATATTTTATTAGTGATTTATCATACGAGCAGCATCGCACTGACAATTTGAAACAGCGTCTGACTTTGCCCCGACATACTATAAAAATATAAAACAAATAATTATTAATCGTTTGACGTTATATATATAAGAGGTTTCAACGTCACAAGTACATCCATCCACGAAGTCGCCCAAGAAAGAAAGAGCAAAATGAAAAGTGCAAAACACACAAAAAATATTAAAAAAGAACGATGAACGAAAATGATAGAGGTGAGAGCAGATGCTCTTTAATTTGCGTCGATCCATCCCCAGTGAAGTATAAATACAATATCATACTTATTTGCAAAAGTCGGATCTTGGCGGAAGCTGGACAGCATGTCAAGTAGCACAATTATAACACAGAGCAAAGTATCTTAAATGTAAATCTTTGATTTTATAGAATGTAAACTATTGAAGAAGCATTTTTTTCATGACATGCAAGATAATTGTTTACAGTTTTAATGTGTGACATACCATCTACTGTAATGTGTTAAGAAGTAGAATCCGAAACGACAAATGGACAGAGGTATGTCTGTAAACATAAATTTCCTTTTTCAATGTGAGTGATCTCGTGTTATTTGTTGATCACTTCTAATGCCAGTGCCGATGACTTTAAAATTATAGAAATACTTTTAGACTTTATGTCCTAGAATATTTGTATGATAATAAAGAACCCATAGAACCAGTACTTTGGCTATTTCCCTATCATAAAAGGTAGACAAACGCAATTTTATACTTTTTACCCTGTTAATGTCACTTATATTCAAGGAAAATAAACTTAGCCATGAAAATATTTAATACAAAAAGGCTATAAATACGCCCCTAACGAGACATAAAAACATTAATTCAATTCACTTACCTGTTTCTTATGTATCTGCAATCAGCCCTCAAATGGAAATGCAGTATTTGCAGGTACACTGTATTTATACGTTGTTAGCAGAGACGCAAGTATAATCATCACTATCTTAGATTTAATTTTGTTGATTTATAATAATGTATAGAATGTCTAACAAAACGCTATAGTGTATGTCATTGTTTTCAAAGCAAAAAGGTTTCAAATAATTCCTTCCTGTGATAGCTTACAGGTGGTTTAATGAGCGATTTATGTGTGCTTTAATATTCTCAATATACTCAATCGCTATTCTAGTTTCTCACGAACAAAGTAAGATTACTTAATTAAATATATTTTTGTTCTTCAATGAAAGACTTGTGTGGGAACATTAGCTAATAGTGCATTAAAATTTATTTTACGCTAAGAACCATTAAACATTATTGTTATATTTTTATTGTGTAATAGATAGGATTGCACTTGTTTATCTACGTATACAATTATTGAATTTAATGCTGTTTCAGTTAATTTCAATGCTTATTTTAGACAAACGTGTATTTTATCATGTTTTCACGGACCTTATATGTATGATTTGTTTGGGAAATTAAGAGGCTATATGTCTTGTGAAGGGGTATGCTACTGTTGCTATGCAAAACTGACCGGAAGAAGTATTTTCTGGCGCATGTACAATCTGCCTCAAGCTCTACACAGAAATGTAGTTGACGTTCATAGACAATGGTGCGAAAGTTGACAGTACAAAGAATCAAAATAATAGCATATCTTTTGTTTTGAATTTCAATTTTAAAAGAAAGGCTTGGGAAGGGTTTAATGTAATGTTGTTAGAACGTGTTGCTAAACTCATATGGTTTTGTGTTATGGTTCTATTTTGTGTGTATATTTGCACGTATATAGGCAAAACTAAAAAAGCATTTTTATTATACGATCTATTCAAGATTGAAGTAACAGCCACATGCGACTTGAACACATTTCAGTTTATACCTTTTGATATGGAACGCCGTGACTGTCTTATGCTATCAATATTTTTGCTATCTTCTGAAATGATGATATTATTTTGTCATTTAAGCATAATAACATGTGCAATGTACATCATATCTTGTCTACAGACAATGCTGACTTGTTCAAACAGCATGTTAACTTGTCAAATAATCATTATAACTTGTGCAAACAACATGTTAACTTGTCAAAATATCATGATGATTTGTGCAAACGACACGTTAACTTGTCAAAATTTCATGATGATATGTGCAAACAGCATGTTAACTTGTCGAATTATCGTGATGACATGCTCATAATACCTTAACAAGTTAAGATGTGTTTTGCACAAGTCATCACGATTCTTTGACAAATTAACATGTTGTTTGCACAAGTCATCATGATAATTTGACAAGTTAACATGGCATTTGCACAAGTCATCATGATACATTGACAAGTTAGAATGGAGTTTGCACAAGTCATCACGATACCTTGACAAGTTAACACGCTGTTTGCACATGTCATCATGAAATTTTGACAAGTTAACATGTCGCTTTCACAAGTCACCATGATACTTGGACAAGTTAGCATGTTGTTTGCACATGTTATCACGATGATTTGACAAGTTAACATGCTGTATGCACATGTCATAACGATAATTCGACAAGTTAACATGCTGTTTACACATGTCATCATCAAAATTTGACAAGTTAGCATGGCATTTGTACAAGTTAGCATGATACTTTGACAAGTTAACAGTACGTTTTGACATGTCAGCATGATACAACATAACATGTCATTTGCACAAGTCATAACGATTCTTTGACAAGTTCACATGTTGTCTTCACAAGTCATCATGGTAATTTGACATAATAACATGCTGTTTGCACAAGTCATTATGATATTTTGACAAGTTAACATGCTGTTTGCACATGTCATCACGATAATTCGACAAGTTAACTTGTCGTTTGCACAAGTCATCATTATACTTTGACAAGTTAACATGGCGTTTGCACAAGTCATCATGACATTTTGACAAGTTAGCATGCTGTTTGCACATGTCATCACAATAATTCGACAAGTTAACATGTCGTTTGCACAAGTCATCACTACATTTTGAAAAGTTACCACGTCATTTGCACAAGTCATCATTATAATTTGACAAGTTAACATGTTGTTTGTACAAGTCATCACGATACTTTGACAAGTTAGCATGCTGTCTGCACATGTCATCATCAAAATTTGACAAGTTAACATGCTGTTTGTACAAGTCAGCATGTTCCTTTGACAAGACATGATGTAAATTGCACATGTTAACACGCTCAAACGACAAAATAATATCATCGTATCACAAGATAACAAAAACATTGATTACATAAGACAGTCTCGGCGTTCCATATTTTGATGTTTATTTCGTTTGTATATTTCTAATCCAGTGTTGTAGCCGACGATATTACACATTTGTAATAGTTATCTTCCAATCAGTTTGTACAGTTCTGGTAATATTCTAAATTTTCATTTGCGCCAATTATATAAATGGTATTATAGCTGATCAAAAGTTTCATTAAGCAAATTTCCATTGCAGTATGGAAAAAAATATTAATGAAAGTCCTTTTTTATGCGAATTCATGTTGATTACTCGTAGATCATAATTGATAATTAAGAAAAACAAATCTCAGTCTTAACATCTTTTATTTATTTATTTATTTATTTATTATTCTTTTGGTGGTGTTGGTGGAGTACATGTATTACGCTCAGCATCGTTTTATCCTGAATTTTAAAACAAATGCTTGTTGATCATTTTTATCATATTTTGCTACAGTCGACTCTCGTTATCTCGAAGTCATTGGGACCGTCCAAAAAATATCGAGATAACGAAATGTCGAGATAAACATATTAGGGTTAGATCAAGGCGAAACTGATTTTTACATAAGACATGTGCATACCTTATGTCAAATAAACTATAGTATCCCAATGTCTTGTTTTCATAGGCCTAGTCAATATTTAACAAAGTAACATAAGCGGATGTTTACCAGCGGAAATACGGGTGTCTGTGTTAAAAACACATAGTGAGGTTTACTCAATAATACACCAATATAGTGAATAGGATATCGGATATGGTTGACCCGGATATCTTCCCGGGTTATTTATCGGGTCTTTCTCGAGATTGTTCCAACGCTGATTGATTTGGTGATGATGTTGTGAAACAATATTGCAACGGTAGCGTTTCTATACTTTCACTATTTCATTTACATTTAAAGTCATAATGAATTGATACAGTTTTCGAATATTTAAAAAGAATGTAAAATTCACTCATTTTGGACATAACTCAATCAACACGCTAAATAGATTAACTTTTATAAAAACAGCTAAACTTGTTACAAACATAATCGTCATTATGACGCGCGCTATTAATTGGGCAATTATCGTCTAGATTGCGTTTTTCACACGTCTGAAAGGAAAAGACGAAGTCGAGATAAACAAAGGATAATAGTGTGAAAATAACTGTTGGGGCTGAAATTTTACATCGAGATACTGAAAATATCGAAATAAAAATATCGAGATAAACAAATATTTCCAATATAGATAAAGAAGGAAGAAAATCGGGACTTTCAAAATTTTATCGAGATAACGAAATATCGAGAAAAGCGATGTCGAGATTACGATAGTTGACTGTATATGCTTTGCTTAAGTCATTGTAATTTATTGTTTGACAATAGACATGTTTATAATGACATTAAGTAGGCTGTTTGATAAGAATTGAAATATGTGAAAGAAAGGGAGGTAAATCCATTATAGTTAAACATTTAGTTACTTACAGTTATTTCGCAGCGCTGCCTCATTATCTATTCTAAGCTATCTAAGGTAAAATATGTTGTTTTTTGCCCCAACTTTACTTCAGTTGATAATCGTTAAAATTTTCACTCCTGTAAATTATGCAAATTCAAGTAAATATCTACATCGTTAAAATGTTCTTAGAGTTCCTTATATACAAATGTACAATTATTTCATTGCCATGTTCTTCAAGTTCAAGCGCATTTAAGTTCACTATGAGCTTTTAAATTCAGCATATTTCTTTATATAAATAAAAAATAAAAGAAAGCAAATATTGACCATATCATTAAAAAAAGTGTGTTGGGGGAAGGGGGGCGGGTGGTGGGCAAATGTTTAATTATAATTTTATTTCACTGAATGCCCGAAAATATACTATATTTTAATTCAGGAAAAAATATATATCAAATTATCATACCCTAAGGTGTCCATTGAACATCAATTTAAGAGACAATCCGAAATTAAGACCATTAGTAAGACCATTTTTCTTCATTTCCTAAGAACCACAAGTTGTCTCATTAGTTGGGTTCTACTATAGTTTAAATATCATCTATAATGATTCTTGTAAAAACGTAAAACACTCATTCTCACTTAAGTACGACATTTCATAAATTCTAGAACTGAAAAATGAACTTTCTTGTATGTTAAAATTTTATTCCATTCCAAAATTATAAGTATCTCGACATCTTAAATATAAAATATTACCAGTACAGATGTCCTAGATTTTTCCCTATGACAGGTTTTCTAGATAGAACCAGAAAATAAATTTCGTCATTTTCGAGACACTGGTCCTTAAAATTGTGCATATGGTATGGCGATTTTATTTTGTCTCTTTAAATAAATTTTCTATCATCTATTTATATGAACATCTGGAAATGAGAATCAATCGTTGAACTGACAAAAATACATCTTTTTAAAAACAACTCATGGAAATGCATTTTATATCGAATATGCTTAAATCTCATTTTCAAAATGAATAACCTTACAAAATCCACAGATCCATACAATGGACGAGTAAAAAAATGTGAAAATTACTGACGAATTCTTGGAAGTACCTACTTATTTATTATTCAATTGTCAAATGTGAAATAATTTACGTCATCTCATATATTGACAATTTATTAAGGACTCGTAAATGATTTTTCAATTGTCCCGTAAGTGACCCAGTCTCCAGATGCTATGGATAGACAGAAAGAACTGTAAATTCTTTGAATTATATATTTATAATGATTGAAGATTAACTTATATTTATTTATGAAATGGAACAGATATTCCTTTGGCAAGGTTGGGCTTTATTATCAATATTTAAACAATTGAACTGAAAATAGTAAAAAAAGGAGTAAAAGATCGTATAAATGGTCTTAGAAGTTCTACAAAATTGCTAGATTTGCATATAATCGAAGTAAGTGTAAACGAAAACAATAGTACGAATCAAAACAAACATTTTTTTCTCATAGAAATATCACTTTCATTGAGAAAATTACTATTTTATAATTTTCTTTCGTTCTGGTCATTTACGGGACAAGTCAATCTTATTACTATTATCTTATAATTGAACTGCAAAACAATGTACAGTATGTTTGTTTAAACAGATATTAAGTATCTAGATCAACTAAAATATTCTATATCAAGATGCATGAAAAGTCTTTGTCCATTCAAATGAAATATCTATGAAAATGTTATAAAGTTTTCAGAATGTGTTTAATTAAGGACAAATACTAGTTAGTTATCACTATATCTGCTCCAAAGAACCTTCTATCTTACAGTTAATACAAGATACTCCAATATTATTGCGTTTTCATTGATAAGCGTGGACTCAAACTTTCCTATTACTCGAATGAATATTCCAAAATTAATTTTACCATTTACGGGACAGTTCAGCCAGATACGGGACACGCCTGTTTTCATGTTTACTTCATTTTGTGATTGAAGTATAAGTTTGAATGTATTCGTATATGAAAGTAAGTATCCATTGAACTATATTATAGTCAAAACGTCTGAATACCAATTACAATATCAAAATTATGATTTTTAGAAGCTATCTGCAAGTGAAAAACACATTACAGAAGCGTATGTTTAAAAACATGGATACTTCTTTGTTTTCGTGGAAGAATATTATTCCAACAATACCAACGTCCATTAACAAGTTGTAATAATTCAACAAATTTAGCAGAATAAATCACAAGAGAATGTGAAAGAGGGTGAGCCCGTAAATGATAGGCTCGTAAATGTTGAAAATTTCTGTTTGACAAGGGAATTTTATGAGAAATTGTGAAATGGTTTACATGAATGACAGAATATAAGCAAGACAAATATCCGCTCTAGATATCTGAAGTATTATAACATTGAAATAATTGAAAATATATTGCAAAACGCATGGTATTGATGAGCCTCGTAAATGATTTTCTAAAAATTACGCTTGTAAAATCCAAATTAACGTGAAATCCTTAACAAAATGGTTACACAGATACTCTTAATCTTCATATTTTATGTGAACTATATTACTGTAGACTTAATATTGCTATTGAAATAACCATTTATAAGTTACCATGTATAATTAACATTGTTTTGCAATTAAGACTCGTAAATGATTTCGACTTTGAAGACAAGCAATTCAAATTTGATTTTGAGAAAATTAATTTTCCTAATATCAAAAACAGTTTTATATGTCAAAATCTGCAATAGAATAACGAAAATAAGCTGTAGTTACTGTTAACCACGACTTTTTGTACGAAGATACGTGCAATGAAACATACTTCGATTTAGTTGAAGACATGCTGTTTTTCGTACCCCTTCCTTGTAAAAGCGATTGTCACTAGCAAAATCAAACCAATAGGCTAGTAAACTTGCGCTCAAATTAAATCTTTGATGCAGTACCAATTGTTAAAACATTTTACAAGAATGTTCGGGCTCACAAATTTTCATAGAACATTGAAGACATGGAATGTCGTACTTTAGTGAGAATGAGTGAAAACACAATTCAGTATCTTGCGGGTACCGTCCATGAACGAGTACCGTCCCTCAAATCGAGCCTGCATTTTTTTAAATTTTGTTCTTTAGGAATACCTTTCCCCCCTATTTTGTCGCCACATCACCGTTGCTTGTGCCATGTGAAGGCTGAAAAATGTCGCAGCTTACATCCAATCAGAGATTCTATATTTCCGATCTTTGTGGATAGTTCAGCACGGCATCATTGTTGTGTTTGTGGTACTTGTAGTTCTTTCTATTTGGCTTTTTTACAACTACATTGGTTTCAGTATGCTTTATTTGAATACTGTATAATTTCCCGTAGGATATATTGCTTGTTTTGTTACGTTTTTGAATTTGTCCTTTACCAGCTTAGCTGTGATATACGCAGACATTTTAACCTTTGATGCACTTTCAAAATGCCATTTTTTAAGTTTCACCCATTGTTGTAGGTCTACACGTATTCTTTTACTTGGGGAACATACGGCGCTTTTTATGTAATGGCACTTATGTGTCGCATAGACAGTTTCATGATAATTGCTTTATGAACACATCTGTGGATTTTTTTTAATTCAAGATTTTTACAATTTCATGATTAATGTCGGTGCTAGGGGGCATGGACGTAGTTTACAGTTTCCAGTACCGTCCTTGAGCTGGGCCAATCAAACCGAGTCTGCAACATATTCAATTTTACCATTTTGTCGTTCTTTCGGGACATTTTTCTCTATTTTTCAATTGTTTACTTCAAAATGATTTGAAATATAGTCTACTTTTATAATATAAGTTTACTCTATATTGCTTACTGTCGTTCAGAAATAGAAACATTAAAACAACATACGGGAATTTCAATAAACTAAATTATATTTTTTTTTTAGATCCTACTAGAGCAACTTGTACTGAAACTATGAGTCTGATTATGAGATATTTTGAAAAGTTAAAATCAAATCGCGCCATTAGACATTAAAGCGCCTTTTAGCACTGTAAGCAACCTTGAACTACAAAAAATGTTATATTTTCAGGTCTCTACTTTACATTTCTCATACCAGAGCTTGATGGACATTCTCCCAATATCGTTCCCTTTACTTTATTACTACCAGATAAATTAATGTTTTTATTTGTTTAATGAAAGTACAAAGAATTATGCTGCAGTATAATTCAACATTCATAATTTTATGTCGTCAAATGCCATTTATTTAGAGTTTGTATTTTCTTCTTCTATTACAAATCAATATATTATCATACATATATCTATATATCCCACGGGGCATTTATTAATGTAATGAAGAATATGTATCTATTTCATCTATGTTATTGTAAGAGTATATTGGTATTTGTTTGAAAATCAGCGAGATAAACATACATGTTTTCTTCTTTCCAGACCTACGTGTTTGCTAATAGAAATGTAGACGATGGTCTGCTAATGTAGATGTTGTTAGAATTAATAATTCGTAAATGAAAAACAATGGGATAATCTACCTCTTGCTGTGTAAAGTAGCAACAACGCCATTTTCATCGAATCGTTTCCTGCGAATTCACATTTGTTTCTAAGACAACAAACGTAAATATGAAATAAAGTAAGACTGAACACTATTTGCAACATTTCTAATATTTACACAATTATATTTTTTTTTAAATATGAATCAACGATATACATACAAGTTTGCTCCCTAATCTTTTGAAACAGAAGTGTTAAGAGTTGTTACAATTTGTGTCCTTCTTGTAAATTAAAAAAATATCATTTTGAATAACTCTAAACAATTCTTCGTATGGCCATTTTATATATTTAATAATTACATATTTCAACAATTATACATGTAGATCTAATACACGTAATTGTTACTTATAAAACATAAAGTCAAACTGTAGTCAATTCAAATTATGAGAAAAACAAAGCGTTACTAGTTCAAGTATTTATTACATACATGTTTTTCTGCATATATCACATTATCCACATGTACGATCCGACAGAAAGAAAATCTAGGATAATCATCCGGATTAACGTTACTGACGTAATATCATTATAGTTTGATTTTGAGAGTCATGGAATGAAAAGGTAATTATATAAGCATTTTGATCTAATACTTGTATTTGACATGAGAAAGGATCACACTGGACGCTTCCACGTCCTATAAGTAGCGGGTAACATAGAAAAGTGAAGATAACTCACGATTTGTGCAAATGTAACGCCGAATCTGTGCAAAGCAATCAAATCGCCGGAGCCTGTAACATAGAATGTAAACGGGCAAAATATTTTACAGTAAACCAAATAATAAGAAATGAATAAGTTCATATGGATGTTATGACGTTACACGTTAACCAGCTGACCAATCATTTTTAGTTTAAAAATTAATTCTACTATAAACGTAAATGATAAATACTCATGTTAGTTTATATTGGCATCATAAGATTTATTTCATCTAAAAACTAATGAGTAAATAGAAAATAAATGTCTTCAGATTATTTGTAAAATTCCTTTTTGTGTTCATTATATGCTCGAGAGATCGACGTTTAAGTGTATTTCAAATATCGACTTGGGCACAGACATGGCAGGGCGGTGACATTAGGTTGCAGACGACAGTAAAGTTTATCGGATAAAGTCCGTTACTACTGACCGCGCAATAATCAATTCTGTCAGTGAAAACGCTCGAGCTGTTTCAGATGTGCCATTAATTCAATCTTACGAATCTTACATGTTTATTTGCTAAGTCGTATGTATGCATTAAGTGTGGCTTGAAGTTATTTCCTTTTATCATTTCTTATTCCATTTGCTTTCTGGATTACTTCGTCTCTGGAATTGTGCTCTAATACACAGTAAACAGAGAAAGCGTCACTGAGATTTTTTAAAGAGAGATTAAAGTCTGTCAACAGTGTCGTGCTTGCTTATTTATGTCGACATCAATATCTAATGCAGTTCGTTAGCAGGAAAAGATGTCTCCAAGAAATAGCTATATATGGAAATATCGAAGTTCTTAAAGGTGATATTTGATACATTTATTTCATAGGGTTTCTAGAGAAATTAAATAACATTTCATGAAACAAATCGTTAAAGAATTCTTTTGAATTCAGTCTACTGAAAATGCGTGAAACTTTCCTGGATTAGCCAAAACGGATAAAAAAGGAATTATAAATTATTTTGCATAACTTACCAACTGCAAAAGTGGTTAAATAAAAAATATGCAAGTTGTTTATAGTGGTGGATCAACTCCAACGCCTTCGCCAAGGGTGCAACGTAAACATAATCCAGGTTATGGGCGCCCTCTGTTTATAGGCCACCCATCATGTAAGAACACTCCTCCGATAAGCCACAGGGCGTCATCAAAAGAGACTAAAGACAGTGCTGATAATGACTCGTCATTAAGAGACTCGATTCCTGCAATGACAAAGCCAGTAGCAATTACATGTCTCGTGCTGAATATATTACTTCCGGGCTTAGGTAAGGTGGTTCATTACATTTTGTCACTAATTATAATACTATTACATGTCATGAAGAAAATTTGTTATGTTTCTTATTTCTGGATCCTTTCATCCTGTAGAACGTATGAAAACAACTGTTAATGATAACGGTCTTATGTTTCTTTATTTATTGACATATATAATTATATGACAAATGAAAAAAGGATTGGTAATTGATGTTTAAACGATGTTGTATGTAATTACAGCTGTGGCACAACATGAACACAAATATAATACAAATCTATTATCTCTTCGACAAAGGCGAGGTTAACACTCAGATAGAATTTACATTGTTTACATTCACGTTAATCATGTATCTGATTGATGGGCATTGATCATTAACCTAACCTAATGTTTCACAAACATTCATCTTAACAACTGTCTCTGAAATGGCTGAAATCTGACTTTGATCCACTGTAAGCCTACTGAAAAACATACAAAAGTATTCTATATTTGTAGTTTAGGTATTTTTGTATACCTATGCTATGTAAAGTATATAACATTCAAACGGGAGTAATGAATAAGTTTACAATAACAAATAACATAAGTTAAAAAATCCTAGGCTAAGCATATATTTATTAATACTTGATGGTTTAACCGCCATATGAACACATCTGCGGATGTATTAAAATTCCAAATTGTACCAGTTCATGTTAAATGTTGAATTCTGCTTAAGCCGGTGCTAGGGGGCGTGGACGGTAGTTTGCACTTGACAGTACCGTCCATGAACAGGCTCAATCAAACCGAGCCTGCAACATTTTCAATGTTGCTGTGTTGGGCTCTCTTTAGGGGTTCCTGTGTTCTCTACTTTAATACAATGTAAATGTACAGTAAAAATGTTACAAAGACCATATTTTTCGTTCCTTATGTATAAGATCCGACAGTGATATTTTAAAAAATTGCCGTTTTGAGCGTTCTTTGGGGATTCCGTTTTTCTCTATTTTACCCTTATCTTACTAGAAACAAATATTTTGTCATGATAAATCTGATCTTTCTAACGTTCAATATGACAACACAATTTTAACGTACCTTATTTATTTAGCAGCCAAAGTTAAACTTTCATTGAATAAACTATAACATTTTATAATTTCTACAGTTACGGGGTTTCATTTGCTTAATTCTGAAATGTTTTGTTCTATTTCGTGATATTTTGTATTGTGACGATTTTTCTGTATTTGTTTACTGTTTTTTTTCTTAGACTTATCCAGATTACCGGGGTTCTTTATATGAACTAATTCATAAGCATGATAGCATAAGGTACACTGAAGTTATTAACACGTTTCTATTAAAACCAGTATATAATTGTTATAATATCAATAGCAGCTGTTGTACAGACAAAACTACATAGTATCTTAATGTGAGCGCACGAATTTGCTTTAGGGTGTTAAGTGTAAATATTTCACACAATACGTGCAATAATATATCGGGTTATACATGTATACATAAGATGTGTGACAATAAATCATCCGGTAAAAGACACAGAAAAGCTTTGATTTTTGTTTTGTTTATGTTATCAACGATTAACCTTATAAATCTTATCAAAGCAATGTCAGATACTATCAAACTTTCTGAACAAATAGCTAACCTACTTTATGTTGTTGACAATACACAGGTTTTTGTTGACAATACTGTACAACTATGAGAATAGTCGATATGTCGATAATGATGATTGAAAAAGACGGATACACAATAGATCTGCTCAAATTACATTTTATTACAACGCTAATGTCAGATGGTGGCTGTAGAAGGCCATATTACGGCAACTTGACGATAATGATTGTATTAAAGTCTGACTGATAATAGAACATCGCAGAAATTGCGACAAACTAATAGAATAATTGATTTATGGAGACAGCTCTTCGCTAATTGTTTTCGCATTAACTAACAGCTTTTATCCAAGAAAATATTCGCAGCTGTATCTAGCGCATATAGAAAAAACAACTTCTAGTAAATACAGGAAATAACCAGAAATACAATTTAGATGGCTGGTTAAGATTTTGCGAGTTGTTCTTTTGTTTCTAGTTTGTCATATTCTAATGTGGTGATGAACGTGGGTAAATGTTTTTTTTCCAAAGACAAGTATGCTATTTTGAATTATTTTGAAAACGTTTAAAAATACCATAATTGGAAAAACTCAATGGACTAGTAACCTTCTTATAACCCGTAAGTTTGAACGCATATCATTTTTATGCACAAATACATCAGGACACTTGTCATAATATGGTGAATATAAGAAAGCTTACAGTGCACATATATACCATTTTGTTAACATTATAACGTCTATATCATCTTCCACGTAGAAACCATTGAAAGTATCTTTATCAAACTATTGTTCCAGTTATATGTCTTCTACACTCTGACATTCTCAAACAGTTTTAGAATGACGGAACACATAGACATCCATTAGTTTAAAAGGACACGGTGATATTATCGTGTCGTTTTGCTTAGCAACGCAGTTAGATACTTACTTTGAAGTGGAAATATTTCAATCAGGGATGTTCATTAATTAACACTTACATTTTATCTACTTTGTTTCTTATTTAAATGATAAGTATAAAATTGTAATTGTTTTTGTATGCACATGCTTATTCACCAGTATCACATTTCTGCAACTTTTGTTTGTTAAATAGCCTAAGGCAGCTAAACTTGTTTTAAGAAATTAATGTGTATGTTTTGGTGGGGGAAAATTTACACATATTTCCAGGAGCGTTACATGCTTGCGTTACATATGTACATGTTCTTTAATTTTGAGCTGTTAACTTGAAGTGTAAATTTAGTTATAAGTCAGTTACTTTCCATATAAAGCAATAAAAATGATACCCTGTTTAGAGGAAGCCAGGTATTGAATATAAGCATTTTCACAAAAATAATCTTGCCATTAAAGTAACATAGTTAGTGGGTATTGTCATCATTATTCAAGAATTCTTTCTTATGCTATTTTTAGTTGTATTTCAAGTAATAAGGAAATATTTTATAGTTGTATGTATTTAACTTCAACTTAAATCTATTCTTACCAACTATGTAAGTATGATAGAAAGATTTTAAGTTGTTAACTTTAAATTTATAGTAAATTGAAGTTACCATTAGTAAACGACGCTATTTAGCGAAGTCTAGAATGTAATATACCATCACCATGAACAGATCGGTGGTCGATCCTCCAATATCCCGAATATTAAGACAAAAGTAGCTTACTCTGTAAAACACAGACGTACATTTCGTTGCCGCCACCCAGTACTATAACATTTATTGAGGAATTGCCTGTAGGCTAATTACTCTATGAAATTATTTAACGGAATATTAACTGCTATATGTATGGATTTTGTCTCCAAGAAAGAGACAATACAAGATTCCTTCACCGATTTATGATACCACTAACTTTCGATGGCGCCACCTTTTACATAGACGGTAAGAGCAGCTGGGGGTTATTTTTGAAACAAGAAATACTGTTGTATTAGGATATTTGCTGATTGGTTTGAGACTTTAAAAAGATTATGTTTTAATGGAAACAGATGTTGGTTTATTGTTGCATCTTTTTATTGTTTATCATTTCAACATTATAAACTATCCATCATCGTCAATCAAATTATCTTTGATACCTTTCTTGATAAGTTCGGATGCCTTTCGAAGGATGTTCCGTTTTTTTTATTTAACAACAGCAGCACTAGCAGCAGCAGCAGCAACAACAACAACAACATCATCATTTGCTGTATCTATTTTGTATTTTTAATATCGTCACTATTAAAGGAATAAAATGAAATATTATGAATTTAATAATACATTGGAAACAAGACGCGATATATTAGTTTCTTGATTTTTTATTTTACGATGTAATGTGAGTTTTTTTTATAGAGCATGAACTAAATAAAGATGTGTAAAGTGGAATCTTCAAAACTCTTAAATGACAGTCATTTATATCCTAGCAGCTTCAAGTGGATATAAGGTCAGAAAATCAATGATGACAGCCACTTGACAAAACACCGCTCGCCAACTGCTTACTAAGTATTAGAGTATAATAAATAGTTTCAAAACAAAGTGATATGCTATTTTCCTGAACAAAATAAAATATTTTGTTTTAAACTGATCTGTATCTACATGCATAGGGCCTATGGGTTAAGTTAGCCCTAAGCTCCATGCTTTTTGTGAAATGAACGAAGGAAAATATAAATAATAAAAAACAAATTACGGTCTGGTCATTTATTGAATTTATTCGCTCACCAGTATGTTGCGGCAGATATTCCCGATTGACCGTTGTTATATGAGTTAAGACCAAATATAATGATTAATTCCTATCTCAATCGTCCATACGGGATTTTATCAGCTTTTGGGAAATAACGTAAAATCATATAAAATCTGTCAGAAAATCCTATTCTGCCCGCATGTGAATCAGTTTTATATTCATTCATGACGACAGTAAATAGGTTCATGCAGAAATTGAAAAAAGCAAAAACACCTTCTTTAATTCTCCTTATTCCTTAGTATTGGTTCTATTATATGGTTATAGTGAAAAACTGTGACAATCAAAGTTTTATTTACCACAATCTCATATACATGTACAAAAGAAGGCATCGTTATGAATAAAACTGATGTTTCCGATTTCTTAATTTTTTTTATACTAAAGGATGTTTCATATAATACCATGGACTACTTTAATAACAATTCAATCTAATAAACATAATTGTTTTATGATAAATTGAAAATATAAGTAGAATAATCATTAAGAAAGAAAACAACAACAACAACAACAACAAAATAACAACTAATAAACAGACAGATAGTTTTTAAATGGAGTGTGATTAGAACTACGTACTTTGAATGGTTGCCTCGTCTTGTTAAATACTGCTTAAGTCGGTGCTAGGTGGCGTGTACGGTAACCATACCTTCCAGCCATAATTTTAGATAAAATGTATTGTTTCCACATATTATAATCCATAGAAGGCTGTAACTAATAGCGAACAACGTTTCCCAAACAATATAACCCACACAAACATTTGCCATCCCGCAATCTGTCCAGGTTCATTAAGTTACTGAAAGTCCTAACAATACACATAGAGGATATTTGTTTGTTTGTGTATAAGATGAAATTTTATTTCATCGAGTGGGCTTTAAAGTTCACGAGATGAAATAAAATTATATCTTACACAACAAATAAACATTTTTTTTTTATTTTATGCTTAAAAAGAAGTTAAAACGAAATTTCCATAATTTAACGTTAATATTAAAATCTGTTTCCCCCATTGAGAGCCCCATTTAGTCGGAATTTCTCATTAAAAACAAGAAGTCTTCAGCTGAAAAATAAGTCCGCCAATCAACGTTAAATGACGGTGATATTTATTCATTTTATTAAAAAAAATATGAATGATCGCTTGTTTTAATAATAAAAACAAACAATTCTTGTTGGAGAAAAAGTCCAACCATCCATCCAAATTTCTGTTACTTACTGCGAATTTATATTAGACATGGCTTTGCAAATTTTGTTTTAAAGTTGTGTATTTCATGGGAGGAAAATAATTGTGTAAGATTCAGAGGGATATAAATTGGATTTGGCAGTCATACACCTTTTTAAAAGAAAGAAAACTTATTTGAGGATTGTAACAGACAAAAAATAAGTGTTGACAGATGTGAAAACATTTAGAAAAGGAGCTAGGAAAATGGAAAACTTGGAAGCTTGCTCAGGAACGCTGGGTTGTTTTACTTATTCTTCAAGTGATGGCTTTCATTGCTTTTCAATTTTTCATAAAGCATGCGGCAGTTATTGCTTGTAGGATACTTTAATATGCCCAAATATCATCAAGAGCAGTTTTGCATGGGGAAGGAATCTATTTTTCAGACTGTAAAAATGAAACAAAAAAATTTAGAGACGAAATTTGGTGATTGGAATTTGAATGAATAGAAGTAAGTTTTCTTCTTTTTATTACTTTTGACATTTAAGTTATTTATCAATTTCAGCTTTGCTTTTTCTTTAAACAGCATGCCATTGTCAGAATTGTCAGCAAAAATAAAATTGAGGTTTCACATGGGGAAAATCTTAAAAAGTAGTTTCGTCATTGAAAGGTGTGAAATTATATTTTGATAATTTTCACTGTGAAATTATCAAATATAATTTTCACGGATAAATCAGTAATCCACTGAAAAGCATAAAATAAATCATTTTATTTTATTTCCAGGTACATTTACAGCGGGATTTACTGTATTATGTGGAAGCACAATTAGATTTAAAGAAATGACAAAACAGAAGATCATATTTTCAAACACGTGGGTGGCGTTCTTACAATTCATTACAGCGTTCCTTTTTCTGCTTGGTTGGATATGGAGTATAGTATGGGGCGTGGCTTTCATCACAATATCCAGTAAGTTTATACTTTAAAAGTTCTTATGTCATTGATCGTGTAAACTTATAAAAAAGTATTTAGGAAATAAATATACGTACATCAAATTACTTTTTACGACTTGATATTAATAGCGAGATTCATTTTTATATTTGAGAAAATATTATATATATATAATTATAGATATTCTTATACTATTTATCTGATCTGATCTTGTAATATGAATATGTATTTAGGAAATGATTTAAAGAGAAGCTTATTACAATTTCTTACAACATGATAGGATAAACTTCATACATTTATTTGAGAAGAGTTATATTTATATTTAAGCTGTTTTGTAATTGTGATATTTCAATTCATTCTTAATTGAAACCCTCCAGATCAAAAATTACAGATTTGAGTTGATTGAACTTTTCGTACAGCTTATGAACCTGGGGATTGAATATGTTTGTATTCAGTTCATAATTGAGGAAAGCTTCACTTTCTTAATATTTTATTTTGCAGCTGATTACTTCAAAAACTTCAAAAGAGAAAATCACAAAAGTAAATTTCCACTTGGTGAGTCACTAGATTTAGGCCATTCAAATGGTTCTACATCGACCGGAATCAACAAAACTGGAAGTTCTCAAGGTCTTAATAGTTCGCGCTCACACCTTCAAAAACCTATCATGCTTCGCTCTTCATCAGCAGATCAGCCTTCTCATCCACTTATTGTATTACAGAAAGCACCTGTCTCAAGTCATTCAGAAACATCGTTAGCAAAATGTCACATATACCATGAACCAAAAGCGCGCCAACACCAGCGTCATCAGAAACACCTATGCTCAGATGAAGAATTATCTCCCCTGAATCTTGAACAAATAGTTATTCATAATCTCCCTAAAGCTCCAGTGCGACGTGGAATATTGAGACGCGAAGAAACTATTACAAGCAATGCAAGTTCTGTATCATTTTCAGATGTAGATAATCTTTGCTCATAATTTTTTTCTATGTATCCCCATAGTGCAACTTTTGCTGTTACAGATTTGCAATTAAATGGCGATTTTTTTATTATGTACATATATATTTGATACCCATTTACTATATAAAATCCACAAGATATATCCTACACATAGCAAAACATTCTAATTTTAGGCTTTGTTCATTATGTTATTGACTGATAGCAGTTTGTTAAAATAATGTGTTTCAAAGAGCATATTTAATCAGATCATCTTAAGAAGAAAGAGTGCGGAAACGACAGTGTTAATTGATTCTTGATTGATCGAAATTATTTCCGTGATTCACAATCGATTTCCGTTTGCATTATCAATGACCTTTGTCTCATGTGCATAAATTTATTTTAACTCATTGTGAAATTTAAAATTTGATCTATTATCCTCTGTTTGTGATATCCAATAACTTGTATATTTAATGACAATATTAATCCTTATACATGTATTGTATTTTGTGCCCAATCGTCATTTACAATTATATATTTTCACGAATCTATTGTTATCCTGTATGTAATTTTGACTAAATGTAAACATGTTGATTATTTGGTTTAATTTTTATTCATTCTAATGTATCAAATCCTAAATAAGTTTGCAGTTGTCAGATATATATTCTTTCAATTACACAACTTGAAGACAAACGTAAGGACATTTGGAGCTGTGAGAATATGTCTATGTATGGCAAGATTCTTCGCTCAACTAAATTTGAAAAAATGCTGTATAACATACATGCTTAGATTTATTAATACTAATCTAGATCTACATACTTGACGATCAATTGATGCCTTAATTTAATGCACCCATGTAATTATTCTGTATCTTCTTGCATTATATACACGTGTATGTAAAAATGCTGCAAAAATTTCATCAGTGAGACACCCTTATTGTCAAAGTATCTACCTACGAATGAATAATGAGTTAGACATTAACTTTAACATTGGCATTTTTTCTTCATATCGATCTTTAAAATGAACCTTTGAAGATTATATATTTTATAATCTGAAATACTAGTATGAGGAAAATAATGTTCTAAAAAAGTAAAAATTATAAGCTTCTGTCTTAAACATTTACTTTTGTTTTGTAATTGTTAATTCGCCATTCATCGTTCTTTCATCCGTCAAGATTTACCTTTCCGGTTTGGTACTCCACTGAGTGTTTTTCTGCTCGGTTCTGTAGGTCTGGAGGTTATAATGAACTGTTATCTTTTTGTTGGTTTTACCTGAATGTTATCATGAACTTTGCCTTCCTGTTCGGTACTACACTGAGCGTCTTTCCGGTGATCATGTAGGATTGGACGCTATTAGGGACTGTGTTCTTTACGATGATCGTTTAGAGCTGTAAGTTATTATGGACCGTGGTCTTTTCGGTAATCCCGTAGTGCTGTCTGTTATTATAGACTGTGGCTTTCCGTTGGTCCTGTAGGGTTGTTTGTTGTTATTGACTGTGACATTTCGGTGGATCTGTAGGGATGTATGAAATTGCAATAGACAAAGCATTAAGCTCGTTTTCCTAAGCAGATTCTTGGTCATTCTTCTTGTTCTTTGTCGTTTTCTTCTATTTTGTATGTGGATAATTATTATACAGCCGTTTAATGAAAAGGACCTTTTGTCGTGATAAGCTGATTAGGAATTACATTGGTTCATTAAATCAAATAAATCTTCTGTCGGAAAGCATTAGATACACTATAAGAAATTTATCAGCATGTTATTGTTCGAGCAGTAATATTATATTACACATATCAATAACAGCTGTTGTTCTGACAAAACAATCGAGTTTTCAATCAAATGTCACCTAGTGCTCTAGCTGTTTGTAATAATTTGCTGTAGAATATATGCTTTTTTACAGCTTACGTGTAGACATTTAAAATATCGCTTTATGGAGCTCCACTGAGTTCGAAAGCCTAAAAAGGAAATATGAAAATCTTACATACATCAAGTGGGACAATTAAAACGGAAATAAGTGCATTCGATACTAAGTGCAATTCTTATGGTGTTAAAGCGATTATCATTTTAGGTTATTTTACACTATAAAAATGATATCTCGATAATTGGAACGATCGAATGATCTGAAATTTTGCATAGCTATCGATATAGATCTTCACTAAATGGTATTATACATATATATAAGATTTCTGTCCAGTCAAGTTAAAAATCTCAGTGCAGTACATGTTATATATAATTGCCTAAAATATGTGACAAAATCAGATGACAAAACCACGTTATTTTCCAGATATCTTATCTTGTTGAGGTTATATAAAAAGCTCATGATAACAGTCTTATCAAAGCAATGTCCGACACAAATGTTCAAAACAAATAACTAACCTACTCTAGATTGTTGACAAAACAAGATTTTAGTTGACAATACTGTTCAAAACACCAGGTAAGTCGATATGCCGATAATTATGATTGAAAAGGACAAATACACAGAGTACTTACTTATAATTATCCATACAGGCACAACTTTATTAGCATTAGTACTTGACTATCTTTTGGTACACCAGTTATGGTGAGTGGGAGATATCATTAAATATACTATATATCTTCTAACGGTTCGGGTGATATAAAATCTTGGCAGGTAATATATCCACATAATTATATTACTCCAAAATCCAAAAAATAAATTAACATAGATAAAATTTTCTCTTACGAAATTTCCATTTCATTACCATTTCATGTTAGGTAGGAATCCTCGCTAAATGGACTGATTGATTTAACATAATTCTTTCAATTAAGAATTTTTGTATAGTTATTATCATATACAAACCATCCTGCTGATTCAAGACATCTTAATATAACCTTTTTTCCCATTTATTTCTTATTTTAAAAACATATAAATACAATCATTCACATTTACATACAACATTTATATCTAAATATTGAACATATATCAGCCTAAGTTAAATCCATATTCATTAACCATACATTCACATATTACAATCAAAAAGGAAACATCGCAATCTCAAACTAAGCATATCAATAATATATCCTGAATTATTTAGAGACTAAACAAAACTGGTATATAAGACGAACTTCGGATATGAAATTCTTATAGTATATCAAAAAACATATTGCATTATAGTTCAGAGTCTCGAATCTGGCATAAAATTATTTTTGCCAGCTGTTGTAATTTTTATGGTTTCAATTGTTTTCATGCCGTAAAGAGAAATCGAAAACGAAATTTATTTAACAAAGCGTTACAAGATAAATCGTCGTCTGCAAGTAGAAGGTGACTAAAGCCGTTCCGATACTACCAAGACTTCGTTTTTTTTTCAATTTTATAAATCACTAAAGAAAAGGGAGACTAAATGATTCTCAAACGAGGAGAACATTTTGAATTCTGCTACAGCAGGTGCTAGTGGTTGTTGATGGTAGCTTGCAATTATCGCTATCATGACATGAGCATTATATACTTTTTATAAGACAAAGATGTGCTAAAAAGTGTGTCCGTTTTTAAGACGCATGTATTATTATCTTTAAAGCAACGATCTTAACAATTTTATAAAAGGTGCAAATTATAAATAAACAGACATAGTAAATAATAACTATGTAGTTATAAAATAGCTATGATTGCTTATAATAAAGCGTTTTGTTATGACATAATTTCGTTTCTAATTTGATTAATTATACGCAGTCATTGGGCGTCTGGATATTTCAGAAATAATTTTTTATTATGTGTACAATACGTTCATCCAGAACATGGCAAACCCTTATGTTTATTGAAATAAAGGGTTGTAACTAATTGTATTGCCCTGTTTATGACTCCAGAGCTACAAATACACAGACTGTCATTATAACGATTGGTGTAACTATCTTTGAACACGCACTCGCATTTAATGGCAGATATAAAATATTTCCTTCTGATTTTCAAGAAGATATGACAATAAAACTCATCACGGATGAAAAGTATTCTACAAGAGTATATCCAACAAGTCTCTTTGACTGAAGATGAAGACATAAAGAAAACCACTGCAACAAGACTAGACATTTTTCAGTATGGACACATTTCATACCATTAATTTTATCTTAATGATTCTTGCAAAAGAGATAATATTATAAATTTCGTTAAGTTTTTGTAGAATTCAGTTATAGATTTAAAATAAATCATTTCAGTTTTAATTATTTAAAGGGTAAATGATTCATTTTGAATTATTATCAGTTTTAAATTATAGCCCATATAACAGCTCTTAAAGAATAATTGATTGTAATTGATGGATATGAGTCATAATAATTTATGTATTGTCCTTGAGATAGTAGTGCCATCAAAATGAGTTTTTTCTCTAGTACTGGGGACAATCATGTTGTACAAGACTGAAGAACAACAAATAGAAATGTTTATCACACACACGTGCCGATTTTGCGACTCCGTAAATATGGTATTGCACGGCCGTGCATATATTTTGACGTGACGTCATTAGCGTTATACAAACATAGTGTAAAGACGCGCTAAATGTTATCGTTATACTTAAGGCGCGTCAATGAAAAATGACTCTTATTTCACTTTAAACGGTCTTTATTTTGGGTGTGTGATAAATAGAATATTTAATTCGTATAAGTTCATTACTGAATTTATTGCACTCGTTGAATAAAATAATATTATGCTCGCTTGCATAATATAATTTTATTCAACTCGTGCAATAAATTCTGTATTGAACTTACACTCATTCAATATCCTCTATGTCTTAGATACGATTATTGATAAAATACTCTTTCCATAATTATATTTCCTAATGTACTGTGTCTTTGATTGATTTACTGCATTAGTCACAGATGTAACTTTATAAGTATACTGACAACTACAGACTGGGTCAATCGTGACATTTTTGTCAGACAATATATTTTCTAAAGAAATCAATAATGTCATAAGAATATGCTGTCATCAATACACTGTTAACCTGTACATTATATATCATATTATATTTGATATTATATCTAAACTAATAATGTAACGCTATCATGATGTTATTGAATTCTTGTATAATTTGCATAATTTTA